GTTTAGAGATTTTTTGGGGTCTCATCCGGTAAGAGGGGGCATTGCGGTGCACGGTCTGCTCTAATGCCAATTTGGCTCAAGGAGTCTGTTAAAGTTAAGAGCTGCTATCAGCTTTTTTTCTATGTTATTTCTTCAGGTGTTTTATGTATGTATCTATTCTTGTACTAGATGACATCGTCTACGAAAAGTAATATTCACCTAGTCAGCTGGTCAGGACTAAGCCTAGGAGGGGGGAGGAAGAACCCCGGGGAAAACCAAGATTGCTCACGGACCCGGGAGCTCCTTCCCTTCTAAGGCTTAGTCCTGAACGTCTACAATAAAATAATGTGCTTCCCATGGTCTGAAATGCTCTAGATCGCTATGCGCCCCCTTACTGGATGAGACCCTATTTTTGAATTGTAAATCAGCAATTAACAGTCACCATAACGCAAGTCACATATATCATCCTGACTTAATCTTCAACTACGACTTTTGAAAATTAAGCTATCGACTTGTTTTAATCACCCATAGATCTTTGGCTGACACACAGGGGCCCTCAGAGATGCTGCTTGATCAAGGTGCAGGAGCTCTTCGTGGATGATCTTGAGGGCAAAATCGATCTGAGGTTTCCGAGATTTGTATGTCAGGACAGCACTCAAAACGGATTAGGTTGCTCGGTGACCTCCATCGCCATTGCTGCTGAGCTGACGATGTGTACCAGTTCATCGGTGTATTCTAGGTAAAAAGGAATAAGGCATCCTGATGACGCAAGCTCAATTCTAAGGAGAAACAGGTTGCTTCGCGAAGCTTGCAAATTGATCTCCTCCCTTGTTTTGTACAGTCTCATGAATTGTCCCATGTGATGAACATGTTCTAAAACCTCTTCTGCACCGCTGCGATTGAATACAATTTCGTTATAGGGCGAACCACGAAGACGTCTTCTGAAATTTGATCCCATCACAGTCTAGCGAGTTCTGGAGACTCAACGCTAACAGTCAACGTTAATGGCTTAGTGGATTTATGTACGTGAATGGTGGAACTATAGCGATTACACTATACTATGTTAGGCTTGGTGGAAGCTGTTAGCTGTGTCAGAGTCCGCGATCCGTCGCAGGTTTCGCTGATTTTCGCGATTTGCGCGATTTTCGCGATTTGCGCGATTCACGCGATTCACGCGACGGGTCACGGAAATCACAAGTGCCCGATCAATACTGCAAGGTGTTCTCCAATCCTGCCGCCACTTCTGCTTGATAGTGATGGCTGAATGACGACTGCTCATGATTCCACTTGTTTCATATTCAGTGTTTCAAATGTTCAAATGGGCACTTGCAATTTTTGCGATCCGTCGCAGGTTTCGCGCAAATCGCGAAAATCGCGTGAATCGCGCAAATCGCGAAAATCAGCGAAACCTGCGACGGATCGCGGACTCTGACACCAGCCTCAGAAGTCCTCGGCGCCTAGCGTCTAGTGACGCATTTCGATGTAGGAAGGTGGCGCTAACTTTGGACTTGCGTAGCTAACACTTCTGACGAAGGTAAGGGCTTCTGAAGTGGGTATGAGCCCGAAGTTGCTTTTGCCAACAAACATTGGTGGCTTTTTGAGTATATAAATATACGTCATGATGAAAAACCGATCAAAAAGCTAGCAAAAGTCGTAATAAAAAGCCAGAAGCTGAAAAACGGAAAAGAAAAGGCATCATGTTGCTGTAACAACTGAGAAGTTTTGTAACTGATCATGTGAGTTCTGTGTCGAAACGTATGGATTTCTTAGAGGGATATATGGTCCTGCAATGAAATTCCCAAATATGACATTTGTGCACCGTCGTGTATGCACGCGAGCAATGCAGCTAGTTCACATTTGTGACATGCCTGGAAATCGGTCCGGGCGTTGGCGTGTTAAAATCACATTATGAAGAAAATTTGAACTTCCCTTCCAGTCCCCCAAACTTAGAATTTTGACTTATGATCTATTTAGTTTAGGAGCAATTGCCCTTCTCTGAATTGAGAGCTGCGTCACTGGCGAAGAGACTTCCATGGAAAAAGGAGTCAGGTACAAAGGAATTTTATTGTGACAAAAAGTCAAATAAAATGAATCTCACACCTCACCTCATACGAGTCGTTGTTTGGATCGATACAATGCAAATCGTAACAGCACCATGAATGTAGCAGAACAGAAGTGGAAACTCGTGTAATTTACAAGTGATCGTATTCACCTGTAATTTTTCTGTTTGTATGCACGAAATCGTTTAACACAACGAAGCCTACATACATGTGGCCTACACATACACTTTCGGAGAAGCTCGCTTCACTTTTATTTCACTATTTGGCGCGATTTTTTGTGTCCAGAGCATGACGGGCATTTCATGATAGAGGCGGGAAAGAGTGGCAATCTATCGATATTGACATATTAAACAACTATATTCTGGCGAGAATGGATTATCGTTGAAATGTCAAAAACTGCGGGTGGTGCTACGCGCAGACGGCTGGAACAGAACTATGTTGGCTTGTATGGCGTGCGCGGGGGCTCGCAAACTGTTTCCAGCTGTATGCAAGCATTTTGCAACTCACTTGGCAAGTGAGTTGCGGGCTGATTTAAGCGCCTTAAATAAGCGGACGGCCAGTGTATTTGTTGCGTGCGCCACCATGTGGCGCACGCCGCCACCCAGGGTAGGGTTTATGTAGGCTTATGTGAACAGCAGGGGTAAGACGGGGCTAAAGTAGGTGTCGGAGTCTCATCATCCGAAAAAAGAGATTTCCGTTGACGACAAGTTCGTAGCCCATCTTTCCGCTCTGAAACTAGGGTGCAAAGAATGAATGGAAAGCTAGTGAATGGATAATGGCTGTACGTGAGAGTTATCGAAAAATGCGAAACAACAACCCCGAGCAAGGATGTGGCTATATTTAGGGGAAGGAGTCTCGGGACGTGCGAACCATGGGTAAGCCACCCATCAAATAATAAACTTATGTAAATTAAAACAAAATTTATTGTAGGTTTGTCAAAAATGCAGCCGTCCAGGTCCTGGGAAGATATGTTATTCCACATTGCTGAGAGTATATATGGGTATATTAAGATTGCTAGAAACATTCTAAAAACAAAAGAAATAGTCGTGCGCCACCTTGTGGCGCACGCCGTCCGTTATGGGTTAAAGTTAAGAAACGAGAATTCAATGCCAGGCGTTTTATAAGACATCTAAGTTTCGCATGCCCCGGTATTGCACTTAGCAAGTACTGAGAGCGTTTATAACGCTCCAGCAGAGCACCAACACGCAGTTCGCAGCAGTGGATATGCCGTCGGCGATTTGGCTTGCCCACCCCCTCCGCCTACTCTAGCCGTTTGGAAGAGTGCTTTAAGCTACTGAAGAGGGCATCACTGATGAGAATAGCTCAAGGTGAAGAACAGCAGGTAGAAAGGGTCCCGATTTTCCAAATTTTCAATTCTTCCGCTTGTTATGGTTATTCTTCCTCCCTGCACCACTGACCACTTTTATTCAGGGAATGGAAAGCCGTAGTAATATTCACAAAGCACAAATCCTTGGTTCTCCGAATATTACGATTCTCAAAAATCGGGAACTGCACAGCTCTCATGGTTTTTAAGAAAATTGTGAGAATTCGAAGCCGAAAAACTTATATTCAAAAAATAGGCTACAGCCGGTTACAAACTTACTAATAGGACTAATTTTTAAGGTAAAGATTTCAATTGGATTCAGTGGCTTAAAACTAACATGTGCACGGAGCGTTTACCAACCAGACATTTTGAAGTCATTTCCATCGCTTTGAACTGAACGAGCTCCGAATATGACGGTTAGAAACTCTTGAGCGCAATTTTCGCAGGATCCAAATTTGTCCAATTTTTCTCAAAAAACTCTGCCTGTTATTTTAAAACCTCATGATTATCCCGCGCCCTTCAAAAGAACATAACGTACTCCCTTGTCAGTTGCGCCACATTCACTACCATACCGACACTTGTTTTCGCCGTGACTCCTCGATAGCCTTAATTTTCTGCAGGAGCGATTGGTTATCGTACGCTACACTTCCCAGGAGGGGGATATTAGAGTGGAAAATTTACCAACGAGCGACGCCAGATGAAGGGTAGGAATGTATGTACAAGGTCACTAGTTATCGTTTAGATTACGATAAAAAACCCTAAAGATCAATAACGAAACTTGAGCTGTCTAAGGTGGCTAATGACGCAAACTGAATACAACGACATTTCTTTTGAAACTTTTATTTTAAACTTTTTTGCCTTCCACTAAACTAACAACATTCTCCTCTCAACGATTATTTGCAGAAGGGTTTTTTCCAAAGTGAAATTAAAATCAATGAAAATTTTTCAATCATCTGAATTACCGGAGCCGTGCGCTGTAGTGAAAGAAATTTCTATCCTCTGATTTGCCTGAACAGTCCATTGTAGTGTACAAGAAATCTAAGGTTAGGTTCAGGCAATCTTAGGATGTTGCATGTAAGGAGGCATGCACTTATAACCCTGCGTGATACATCTTTTGCAAATCCCTTTATTTGGAAAAGAGAGGGAGGGGAGAGACTCAGCATGAGTGAGTCTTTTTTCCCCAGATTCCTGCCCCTTGGCTTAACGCTAAGATGAAAATCCTATCTTGCAATTGTTACCTTAGGTTATATGAAAGCATGTAACAAAGTAGGTTGAAGAAATGTCCAAGACAAATAGAAAGAAAACTGTTCATCGATCTTACCATAGTGACACATGGCTTATACATAGACACACCAAAAAACAGATTTCTTGCAAACTGATAAACGGCCAACAGCGTAAAGTTCAGTGAAACGGAAGCCTGAATTGAAACCACATCAAAGGATTGCAGGGGACGTAATTGTAAGTAGCAGATTTTCGATTGTGAACTATGACTTATGAGCAATCGAGATAAAAACAGCAAGTTTGATCAATTGAGAACTCACCAACATTCTTCTTTGTGAATAGGGCACCGGTACGGCGTTATGGGTTACCACAGTCAAAATGCAGTTGGTGATAATCGCTAATAATGCCAGCACTACTTCCAATATGTGTATGATCCTAAACAAATACTTGCAGGCATTCAAGTTTGTCATACAAGGCACTCCACATAGAAATTATAAAATTAGTTAGAAAAATAAAAATAAAAAAAATAAAGTTAGAAAAAATTAAGGTTTTTTAAGTCATAAAATTTTTTTAAATTCTAGATTTAAAAACAATCTTCAGCGAATAAAGTGCTGATCGTTCCCTGGTAAATATCCCAGCAGGAAAAAAGAATCATTGCGGTGATCAACATGTCATGATGAAATCGCCATTTTCATTCGGCTTTCGAGGCCGATGTGGAGGGCTACTGGACGCAGGGAGTAGGGTGTCATATTTTGCTCAGGGTAGAAACTCGTGTCTGTTGGAATCGGTATTGTCTTTTCAGAAAAATGGCATGTTAGTGTTCATCGAGAGTGAAAGAATTTTTTGTGAAAATATTTAGACTTTTCCAACAAATTGACAAACTTTTATGAAATTCGAGTTTTTTTTTTGAATGAAATCAAATTCAAAATGAAATCAAAAAATCAAAAACTTGGATGAAAAATTTGAATTTTCCTGTCTTAAGTGTAATATACACCCAACTCTTCCCTTGCACCAATGCTTGACGAGGTGTATTTTTAGATGCTTCAAAACATTTTGATCGCCCAGTCAAGCTCGTAGATTCGTTCGTAGATGATTGACCCATGTTGTGTTCTATGAAATGAGGTGCTTTAAAAGTTCAGGTAGAACAACCATTCGGGCATGTTGTGTTCCTTAAAAGCTCACGCAGAACATAAGATAGTGCAAAATCGACAAGAAACAAGTAAGTTTCGTGGATATAGTTTAAAAGCACAAAACTGCGATTCCGCAAGGGGAGGGTTTCACAAACAGCACACTGCGAGTCGTTTCACTACTACGAAAGTCCCCAGAAATGGAGCAAATCAAGATGGTCCTTATGGTAGTACTGACAGCACTTTCTCCACCAATGTTAACATACAGTGCGTTTCAAAAGTATAAAGCCACGCATGAAAATGACTTTTCCGAGTCCAGATTAGTATTTCATGGCTTGCCATGTACTTAGTTTGAATTCGGCGTGCTTGAAAACCATTGTCCTCTTTATTTCAGAATACAAAATGATTTACATACATTTTTATAAAAATTTACAAATATCCCCTGTTTCAAAAGTATAAAGCCACTTGCAACATAACTCTATTTTTCCAGAGAAAAAGTGAACATCGTAAATATTAGTAACTAGCGTGACTTCCTTTTTTAGAAATGAGATTTAATAGACCATTTGGCATACTATCCGTGAGCTTCAGAAGTATAGCAGGATTCAGGTGGTAGGAAAACGTCTCGATGGCTGTCTGAGGTCTCCCACGTTACTGTACTGCTTTCCATACGCGTATATCTGTCGGACAATGATACCCCAGGTGTTTTTTATTGGATTTGGATCTAGGCTGCTAGCAGGCCATTCCAGTACACTGATTTTGTTGACGTAAACCCGGTGTTGAGTGGACCGGCTGCGATGGATGGTGGCATTATCGTGCATAAAGATGAAGTTTTGTCGACGACCCTCACTTAGAAACGGGAGAAGATGATCAGAAAGGACATTCTGATACTCACTGGAATCCATTCGACACGAGACGAAAGCTAAAGGGAGCACAGCACCGCTGTAGAATGCAGCCCAGACCATCTGTGAACCACCGCCGAAGTTCTCCTGCTAAATACCAGCGGATCTTTGCTAAAATCTCTCCAGAATCTGTGATGACCATCCGGCCCGTCTAAGTTGAAGTTCTTTCAACCACAGAAAATGAACTGAACACAACAAACCATTAACTAAACGTCATGATGAAAGTGCCTCCCTTAACCGTAGAATCACCTACCGAATCCCAATTTTCTCATGTTCCTCCGTGCGAAATTCGAGGCGAGCTGCTTTGTGATGCTGTTCCAGACGTGGAGCCTTCATCATGGATTGTCGCACTATATGTGGAGCAGAGTTTGCGACCCTCCAGATGGTACTTCTCGAAGCGGAAAGGGAGAGCTCTTGTCGGATCTGGCTGATCGACGCCGTGGAATTGGAAAGGGATCGTTGGATACGGCGGACATCATGCTCGGAGAGTACTCGAGGCCTGCCAGAGATCTTCTTCTTTCCATAATTAGCTGGATTTTTCATAAAGTTGTCGATACAGCTATGAGATCGACCAAGTTGAGTAGCTATGGAGCGGTTTGAGTAGCCAGCTTCATGTAACGTCCTCGCACGAACTTGCTCTTCAATAGAAAGCTTAGATCCTCGAGATATATTGAAGACGTAATGTGTTTGTGCTAAGGTATGGCCAAAGAACTTCAAACGAGTTAACAGGAACAAAAATTTTTACCGCTGTTGCCTACTCGCCCGGGGTGGCTTTATACTTTTGAAACAGGGGAGTTTTTCAAATTTTCTTATGGAACCGTTTCTAGCTTATAGTGGTTTGTACAACAAAGTTTACTATAGTTTCAGAGCGTGCTGAATTCGATAAACTATTCATCAAATCACGGAACCTTCATTCTAACTTGGAACAGCTTCATTCAAGGGTGGCTTTATACTTTTGAAACGCACTGTATATGTACGTACAAACAGAGCACATTAACTTGTTTTACTTAGGTCTTACGGCACGTGCGATCTTCAGTTCACAAATAATTTGTTCGTTTTTTTGCCCGCAATCTTCTTGATTACATTTTGATTAATAATATTTTTGTTCCAAGCTAATAGTTATTTTTGTTTCGACATTAACTATTACTCACAGGGAAAAGCCCTCACGTCGTCAGATTCATAATTGCCTTCCAAACCTGCCAAACGACTGCGTTATGAAGTCGAATAGCGCAGCTCTACTGGTCCTGACTTTCAGGCGAGAAATTCTGCGGCTTCTGCGCCTGCGGTTCATAAAGTCGTTTCGCAAGTTTGGAAGACAGATTCGAAACCAGCATTCCACATGTAGGTATATATAAATTTCATCTTGATTGGCCGTGGCGACCTGAAGGCCTTTCCTTGTCGGCATAATATATTAGTACTACGACCTAATGGCCCAATGGGGAGTATTACTGCAATATTAATATGTCGTTCAAAGATTTTTCATTATGCTGTATTACTTACCAAATATGCGGTTCGGTGAGGGCGACTACACATTGTGACAGGTCGACCTCGCCCTGCATTGTTGCTATCTTACTGTCATTCTAAAATCATGCTAAACACCAAACGAAAAAATTGAGAGATCATCGAGTAAATTTCATGAAAATTGCAAAAACACTGAAAGCGTGTTTACGGTTTTTGCAGACGGGCACCAAGAAGAACACAAGAACGATAAAGCATAAAATGAAAGCAGAACTTATAACTGGATTACCCGAAAATATCTTCCACATTTTTAACTTTGCAACGAATGAAATTTTCATGGTCAACGGCTTCAGTCACCATGTAACTGGAGTGTGTAATTTATGTCGATTTATTCAGTTTAGGGAAATGCGCCAGCATTAACGCCTATTCTTTGAGTGGCAAGTGGTGTCTTACTTCCGTTCGCTGCTGACACATTTCTGACTACCCAATGCCGACAACGAAAGATGAGACTTAAACGAAGCTTGTCGTGCTATGAAATCATGATGGAATGCGTTCCCTACTCGCAATGCTTTTCTATGATAATTTATCAACAGGAATTTATCCAACTGTCATTCAAAATTGATTTTGTTTTTTTACTTTGGTTTTGAATTTAGTCTGTTTGAGAATATCTAAACGAACGTTTTCAGTCTAGAAATGACTTGTTACACTCGTGAAATTCCAGCAGCCAAGATTCCCTCTCTAACTAATTGGTAACGTAGAAATTTGCTCCTAGTTACACAAGGACTCGTGTGACTTCTGCTTGATCCAAGGAATTAGGCTGCTTCTGTTATAGCGTTTGTTTAAAGTGACATGTCAAATGAGACAGAATTCGTTGAGCGTGGCATTGTGCGAGGGCAACTACTGCAAACCCGGAGACTCTCAGAGCACCGACGTTAAATATCAATGTCCCGCTTATGATTGCCACGTTGTAGTCCAAAGTGACGCCGTCCACTTTCGAAACCTAGCGAGTAGCAATATACGGGCATGTAAAAGTACTAGAAAATTGCTCGAACTATAATGTTAGGATCGAACAAATCTGCACAAAAATTTGTTGTCTTCTTTTCACACGTAAGTGATAGTAGGGTGCGGTCACTAGCTGTAGTGTAAACACAATCACTTCGTTAACATCGCAGGCCCCTGGGCGGGCCTAGAGAGCCTATGGAGCGGAACACATGGTGGAGCGGCCACGTGCTGGGTGGCACGTCATAATGATGTTAGATTTCACCGTCAGAGTTCGGATAGTAGGGGCAAATGTGAAATGTCCTTGCCATAGATGATGAAGCCCAAAAACACCGTCAACTCACCCATGAAACAAATGTGGGCGCTAATGTCGCCAATATTTGTGACAGTTATGGAGGAGCTTGGAAAAGTGACAATTTTCTATTTTATTCGGGTTGTTTACTGCGATTGAATATTTATTCCGCCCTTCTCGTGAAAGATGGGACTCGCTCCACTACTTCGCAGAGAAATGAGCATGACGCCATTTCCATGCAAAAATTTTCAAGAACTCCCTTCTCCCTTCGTTTTTTCACCTCAAAATTGCCGTGCTAGAACTGTTTTGGCAGATTATTGGACGATTTTGGTTTCAAGTTCGGAAGCATGAAACCATTCATCACGTTTCCGGAAATGATAACTTTTATCAAGTGCTCGCAGACGTCCGAGAGCACCTTCTA